TGGCCAGCAGGGCGAGGGAGGGGATTCTGCCCCTCTACTCTGCTCTGGTGAGACCTCACCTAGAGTACTGCGTCCAGCTCTGGAGCCCTCAGCACAAGAAGGACATGGAACTGTTGGAACGGGTCCAGAGGAGGGCTACAAAAATGATCCGAGGGCTGGAGCACCTCTCCTATGAGGACAGGCTGAGGGAGTTGGGCTTGTTCAGCCTGGAGAAGAGAAGGCTGCGGGGAGACCTGATTACGGCCTTTCAGTACCTAAAGGGGGCCTATAGGAAAGATGGGGAAAATCTTTTTAGTAGGGCCAGCTGTGTCAGGACAAGGGGTAATGGTTTTAAACTAATCCAGGGTAGGTTTAGACTAGATATAAGGAAGAAATTCTTTACAATGAGGGTGGTGAAACACTGGAACAGGTTGCCCAGAGAGGTAGTGGAGGCCCCATCCCTGGAACATTCAAGGCCAGGTTGGATGGGGCTCTGAGCAACCTGATCTAGTTAGCGGTGTCCCTGCTCACTGCAGGGGGGTTGGACTAGATGACCTCTAGGGGTCCCTTCCAACCCAAAACATTCTATGCTTCTATAAGTCTGGGCTCAGTCTTGCCCTTCTCAGTCTTTCACAATTGAAAGCAAAGATTCTAATCCAGTTTCCTGTTCCTGCTGTCATGGCACTGTGGGCTGGGAACGGCATGGTGTGATTATAATTCTTGGCTGCTGGTGTGTGTTCCCTGAAAAGCATCACCAAGGGAGTTCCTCCTCTTTGAGGGGAGAGCTTGCATGGTAACTGACTATCCAGAGAGTTTTGCAACTGTCCTTTGTTGTGATCAGTGATTTTTTTGTTGTTGTTGTTTGTTTGTTGGTTTTTTTTAATCTAAAAACCTCAAGGCATATCTGATATCGATTAACGCTATGCTGGTTACCCGGCATGTGGGACAAAGGCATACCCATCAAACGTTGTATGTAGGAATTACCCAGATTAGAAAACTAAGGGGATTTTCTCTACCCTTCAAAAACATGGGTTCAGAACATGTCTTATAGTGCTCTTCATTTGAACGATTGTCAGCCTGTGAATGCTGAATGGTAGCACATGGCTCAGTTCCTACCAGAAGTCTTAAGAAGAAGGAAAACCATAACGCCAAGAGCTGGAAGAAGGTGAAGGCAGGTAGGTGATCAAGGACATGTTTTCATGGTCAGGGGCCTTTGCCAGCAATGTACATTTTGAAATCTCTGTCCCTGGCTTCGCTATGCTGCACTCTTTGGTTGTGCTGGTACCCCTGCCTGTGGGGCTGTGCTGTGAGCCCCCCTCCCCCATCCCTTTTTCCTTTTCAAAAGCAATCAAAAATAACATGGATTAATCGGCTGCCTGTTTCACAGGCTCCACAAAGAGTGGCTCTGGCACAATTGCAGTAGCACCGTGGCGAACGATTGGAAGGAGTCTCATACATGAGAACTTCCTAAGGTGACGGTCTTGCCAAAGCCCCTGTCTTCTGAAGCTGTAGCCTGAGGAACTGGTGGAGAGAGTAGGGTGACACAATAGGATTGCAGACTTAGGAAATGTGAATATTCAGATCTTTCCAGGAAAGAGCTCTTATAATTGAAGGATTTTTCCATGTTAGCTAGAGCAGTGACTGTATTTGAAAATTATTTTTTCGCTCTTGATGTGGAGGGTTTAATTTAGGTGGTATGTGTAAGAAAATTCTTTTGACAGCAGCCCTTTCAATTTGTCTGCCTTGAAGGCACTAATGTGCAGCTGCATGGATGGTAATCCCATCTGTCCAGTGCGAACTGCTGAAGAGGATCATGCTGAAATGTGGTTAAAGAAAGCTTTTATCTGTGGTTGCTGCACATTTCCACCAGGCGTAGTGCTGGGGGGAGAGAAGTGGTACTCTCTGCTGGGCAGGGTCCCTGGGAGAAGTGCTGAGGAGGTTTGGCTCGGTGTGGCTGAGAGTGCAAGAAGTGACAAAGGGGTGGAAAAGGATCTGCATCTCCTACAGTTGAACAGTTACTCTTGGGAGACAATTTAAAGTACTTTTAACAAACAAAACTAAGGCTTTAAGAACTGGACATTAAATTTGTAATTTAGACTTACCGTACCACCGGATCATTTTAGCTGGAGGCCAGAATTGAAAAGATGGTGCCCTAACAACTGGCTTTGGGGGCCGACGGTGGTGGAGGACTGAGTCCCATACAACAAGCAGGATCAAAAGGGATTTTTGTGCCCTTGGAAATACTGCATTTAACTAATGGCTTGGATTTAGCCTGCTTCTTATTGCATAAAATAGATTGACTTTTTCAGCTCCTCAGGCCTTATTTTCCATTAACTGATAACGAAAGGTAGAGGAGAAAGCGTAATCAAAATGCCAACAAGCACTGCTGCTAGCGGCGTTTGTATTTCACCCGCGTTGTGAAAACCGCTCGATCCCGTGGGTGTTAGCGGGACCCATCCCTGCCCTTCTGCCCTCCGGCCAGGCCAGCCCCGGCGGGCAGCTCTGCCTCTGCAGAGGCA